GCTGGAGGCTAACTCCATGAATCAAAATTAATCAACATTAATCAACATTACCAAAATCACTATATCAAATCAGACATTTAATCACATTTAATCACATTTAATCAGAAACAATCATCAACCGTTATTGACCATTATGAACTGGAGGCTACTCCCTGAAGCTTCCAGGCAGCAGCGCCTGGAGCTTGCCCTTGGCCCTGGCGGCGATTTCTGCAAGGTGGTGCCCCAGTGATGCTAGTTGGTTTATTGCCCCCATGAACTATGTGTGTATATATATATATATTGGGCGGAAGCTGGGGGTTCCCCGGAAGCCAATTGCAATTTAACTGTATGGATATGGAAAATGTTGATTTTATACTGTGTTTTACAGTGTTTTTTTGCCTTCCCTTGAAAGTGTTCCATCAGTGAAAGTATCAATGTCGGCGCGGATAAACTCGGAGTTTGTCCGTGCAGAAAAATGATAAATTTACATCTTCCATGGATGGCCAAAAATGCGTTCAACATTTTTCCCATTGGAATTGCGGTTTCATACATGTTTCAGTTTTTGTTGATAAGTACAAAATGTCATAATCCACTGGAGAACCATGGACGAAATGAACATCACATATTTTTCATCTTCGCTTTCCCAAACCTTTTTTTGGCATGGCGATGGAAAATGTTGTTTTTACACTGTGTTTTACAGTGTTTTATGTTTTTCTCTGAAATGGTTTGATCAATCGAACTTCCATTTTCATCGCGGAAGAACTTGACGTTTGTCCGTGCTGAAACAGGAAAATTTTACATCTCTCATGGATGACTAAAGATGTGTGGAACATGCTAACCAAGCAACATCTTCCAGGATTCAACATCATCCAACGCACTTCACATGACGTTATTACACCCCCCCCACCCCCCCCATCTGTATACAAGAACGACCTTTCTGGTATAGCATCAAGACTGAGGGTTCCTCGAAGCTCCGGGGAACCCCCAGCCTTGAGCCTATATATTTATAGCAATATATATATATATATATAAATATGTACACGTTATATATTATAATATGTACATATTATAATATATACATATATATATTATAATATAATATATATACAATATGTAATATATAATATATAATATATAATATATAATATATAATATATAATATATAATATATAATATAATATATATAATATAATATATAATATCTAATATATAATATATAATATATAATATAATATATAATATATAATATATAATATATATAATATATAATATATATAATATATAATATAATATCTAATATCTAATATCTAATATATAATATATAATATATAATATATAATATATTATAAATATATAATATATAATATATAATTTATAATATATAATATATAATATATAATATATAATATATAATATAATATCTAATATCTAATATATAATATATAATATAATATATAATATATAATATATAATATATAATATATAATATATAATATATAATATATAATATAATATATAATATATAATATATAATATATAATATAATATATATATTCATGTGTATATCATGAACCCCAGTCAAATTGCAATTTTGGGGTATAGACAAACCATGACAAACCCATATGTGCCGTGCTCGAGACATGGTATATGGATCATGGAAATCCTCAGAATGGCCATCGTTAATTTCTATTAGGGGATTAATGACCCCGAAAAACCTGGCTTTGACCATGGCACATGTGGGTTTGTCATGCTCCCCCTCTTTGCCGGTGAAATCTCTGTGATCCAAAGCAATATCTTCTTCGTTGCTCCTAATTTTTCATGGTAAAATCCACAGTTTCCAGAGTAAACTCCCCATTTTCCATAGTGTAATCCACAGTCTACATGGTAAACTCTCCATTTTGCCCAGTCAAATCCCCTTGACATTCGGGCCCTGCCCCTGCCTGGGCTTCCTTGGACTCTGCCAGGTTCTCCTGCGGTGAATTCCCATCGTCTCACGTGGATAAATATATTCACAACTAAATATGCACATTAAACCATGAGGGTATCTACAGGATAGAGGATATATATGATACATATACATATACGTATACGTATACGTATACGTATACGTATATGTATATGCATGTATCTGTATATGTGTCATATTATGTATACATATATGTGTGTGTGTGATATTTTATGTGTATATATATATATATACACATGTATTGATCAATAAGATATGCAATGTATATATATATACATACATACACAATGCATTACATAGGCTATGTCTGTGTGTGTGTGTTGATGTATGAAAAAAAAAACTATGTATGTATATATATATATACACGTACCTATAAATTACATATGATGATGATACGCATCAAAAAGAGATGTATATGTGTGCAAATGCAACCACGAAGCAGCAAGTTGCGGATGTTTATCTCAGTCACAAAAGACATGTACTGAATGAATACAACCACCAATTTGGCCACGAAACCAGAAAGTTGCGATTCATCCCCATGATTGGCATTTGTGGTTCATTTCAACCATACCATAGATGGTACAGAATCAACCCTCACCATGGCGTAGTTGCGGGGCCAGGCTCACTGGGCATTGGCGGCTCAAGCATTTTGAACGGCCAAGTCCTCATTTTCAATGGTTAGATCATCCTTTTTCATAGTTAGATATATCATGAACTTTTATATATATATATAATTATGATATATTATATATATATAGATATATCATCTATTTCCCCCCTGATTAACTCTTCAGCTTGCCTATTGCTTCTAGTTCGACCGCAGAGCGCCGGGAGTCCCGGAGTCCCGTGAGTCGAACAGACCCGGCCACTGGATGAGGGTCATGGAGTCATGGCCCTGGAAGCGAGCCACTGTATATCCGTTTTAATGGGATTTTAATGGGATTTTATGGAATTTTAATGGGATGTTAATGGGATTTTAATGGGATTTTAATGGGATTTTAATGGGATTTTATGGGATTTTTATGGGATTTTATGGGATTTTTATGGGATTTTATGGGATTTTAATGGGATTTTAATGGGATTTTAATGGGATTTTAATGGGATTTTATGGGATTTTTGGGGGATTTTTATGGGATTTTAATGGGATTTTAATGGGATTTTAATGGGATTTTAATGGGATTTTAATGGGATTTTAATGGGATTTTAATGGGATTTTAATGGGATTTTAATGGGATTTTATGGGATTTTTATGGGATTTTTATGGGATTTTTATGGGATTTTTATGGGATTTTTATGGGATTTTAATGGGATTTTAATGGGATTTTATGGATGGGATTTTAATGGGATTTTAATGGGATTTTAATGGGATTTTAATGGGATTTTAATGGGATTTTATGGATGGGATTTTAATGGGATTTTATGGGATTTTAATGGGATTTTATGGGATTTTAATGGGATTTTAATTGGATTTTAATGGGATTTTAATGGGATTTTAATGGGATTTTATGGGATATATGATGGTTACCCTCTGGTAATTTGTTACATAGCGAACTGGAAAGATCCACCATGTTTTAATGGGAAAATCCACTATTTCTATGGCCATGTTCAATAGCAAACTGTTAGTTTACCAGAGGGTATCAGAATGGAATTCCATATGCCACATATAAACCGTGGGTTTATCATATCAAAATTTTGGAATTGCAAGTTTCCTTGGGATAGTTTGATATGTTGTTGATTTTATGGTGGTTTTATGGGGGATGTATCCAACCAACATGGTGAGTGAATGGTGATATTCATGGGATATAAGATGATATAACTAACCAACTTGGGATATGAATGAGGTAAACCCAATGCCATAAACCTCCAATATTGGGGCGGTTTATTTTTGGTGCACCTCATTGCTGATTACTGGGGATATTTTAGTGGATCTAACCAACTTGATATATTTCATTGGGGGTGTCTGAAAATATGTAGTGGTGAACCTCCCAATGGCTTTTCGATATAACTGGATTTGGGGTAGCCCATTTTCAGACAAAGCCATTTTGACTTGTTTTTAGATACACTGAAACATGGTTTTCTCTCATGGTTTGAAAACAAAAACACGTGTTTTCCACTTTTATGCTGATTTGTTGGTTGGATTTGTTGTCCACAAAAGACTACCACAAATGTGGTGTTCACTCACCATTTCTAGATGATTTTCCTAGGGTTTCCCCATGGGATTTCCACTGATCTAGCGCACCTGGCGCCAGGTGCGGCAGTTGGACTCAGAAAACTTGGAGATGTTGAAATGTCTATCTGTATGTGTGTAACTGTGTATGTATGTATGTATGTATGTATGTATGTATGTTTGTATGTATGTATATATATTATATATATATGTATATTATATATATATTATACGTAGGTGAATTAGAATGATTTACCCCGAAAATACCATTTTTGGAGAGATATAATTCATCCATATCATATATATATACATATACATACATACACCCTAGATAGGTGGCTCTTTGTGTGTTCATATCATTTCATATCATTGTATCCACAAAACGAGAGAGAGAGAGGGGGGCCTTTGATCTTTGTGCACAAAGAGAGGGGGGAGAGGAAAGATTTCAGGCATGTGCGCGTACATACTTACAAACATTGCTATAGCTGCTATATGTCAGGTTTTATCTCCAGAAGAATAGATTGATGGAGACTGTCACACTGATACATCTTCACTGGGAAACCAGCAAAGGTGGAAGTCTCTCCCCTACTTCGCACCTGGATTCGCCTCGAGCCGGAGCACCAGAAAGATGGTATGGTTAACTTGGACAATCCAGTCAACGGCCGACAGGAAACTCCCCAATTTGCAGAGCTACCTCTAAGAATTTTGGGAAATGCGTAGGTGCAATGTGCAAGACAATGATGACAATGGTATGTATTTATCCCATTACAATATATATATATATATACATATATATATATACGTATATACATATAACATATATATATATATATAACTATATTTACCCGATTGAAATCCACCCTTACCAGCTTCTGTCGAGTTGACTCCTTTTTGTCGCCTGGCCCTTGCCCTCACTTTGGGATGCTCAGGAGTCTCCTTGGGAAGTCACCGAGGGCGGATGTCCTTGAGGAAAACCATCATGGGTATGTCTTAAAAATGGTGGTTCTTCAAAATTTCTGGGTAGCCTAAGGAAAAATGGAAAATGATGGTTTAAATGATGGTTAAATGTGGTTAAAATATGGTTTAAATAAGGAAAATGATTCTTCATCAATGGAGTTCATGATTTCAGGGTAGCCTATTTTCAGACAATCCAACGTTCAAAGGGTGAAGGTTCCATTTTTTTCAGGTCCTTCCTGCTGATTTCTCCAGCAGTTCTTGGAACTTGCGACCAGATTTTTTTTCTGGCTTGGATGGGTCACCTAAGAAGCCTGGAAGTACACCCTGCAATTGATGAGTTTTAAGGGAAAAGAACTTGGACAACAAGTGCCACATTTGTTAAGCTTGATCCGGCGTCGGGCTTCGGGGGACAAACAAAAAGTTTACCCAGGGGTTCACATTCAGGATCTTTCCATGCCAGTACCAACGTCTCCAGGTGAAATCCCATATGGCCCAGTCAAAGATCCATGTGTTACTTAGACAATCCACTTCGAGTACTGAAATGGGTCTGGTGCAGTTCTACACAAAAATGAGATGCCTGATTTGGTTGCTCCTTTGACCTTGGACCCATTATTTTTTTGACTCGACTCATACCCAATTCTTTGGTTTGAACCCCAGTCGTTTTTGCTGACATAATCCCCATACAAGGCGCTCAAAACCATTTCCGTTGCTTCAATCCTACTCGCTGTTGGTAAGGACACCTGGTCACATGTTGGCTTTAAAACATTCCCAAAACCCCTTCTTCCGTTCAAACACTTGCACCTTTCCGGTGTTATTCTCCACATTTCTTAGTCTTTTGATCCAACTTAAAACATCCATTTATCGATGTTTTTAGTATTCAACCATTAAACACCATCAAAAACCATTAAAAAAAAATCCATGAGCAATTAACCATCCATTAACCATGAACCATTAACATTAACCATGTTGGATGGGTTCAACCATTATTTAAAAAACACCAATCCAAAACCCCACCATTTTTTTTTGCCAAGGGGACCCACAGTGCGCCCCGCCAGGCTTTTGGAGTTCTCTCGGGACTGGCAAGATTTCGGATGGGAATCTTCCAGAACATGGGGAAAATCCATATCAAAACCATAGGAAAATCATAGGAATTTAGAGGAAGGCCATAGGAAAATGATGATTTGATCAATGGACATGTGATAAATGATGGGATTCATGGCTAATTTCACACGCAAATAAGAAATTTGGATTCATCTAAAGTGTCCCATCGTCCATAGGGGTGATTTTACCAGCAAACATGTGCATTGTGTGTTTGGAAAATCTACTAAATCTACAGGACACATGCTGGTTTTTAACCAATAAATACAGGGGGGGGTCATGTAAAGTGTCCCATCGTCCATATGACTGAGTGGATTATATATATATATGTATATATATATATACACATACATATCACAAATGCACTAGCCTGAATACATGTACTTGGTCAGACCAGTAGTATGGTGGGGACGTTGCATGTATATCTCAAAAGGGGATTTGTGTGGGTTTGGAGAAATATGAAATATATTGAAATATTGTATAGTAGCCTCCAAAAGGATAGACAAGCAATTATTCACTATATATTTTAGTGGCAAGATTTACTTGTCTATCTTTCGGAGGGTTGCTATACATAAGTATGGGATTTTTTCTTTGGGACATGATCTGAGATACCGTCAGCATCACCGACCTTGGAGATCATCCTGGAAGTATGAAGATCCAACCAATTTGAAGTCATTTTTTTTCAGGTGAAACATATATATATAATTATATGTATATATATATATATGTGTCCCACTTCTATATGTAAAGCAACATAATGACGGCTGAACAATTCCCATGTTGCAAAAAAAAAAAGTTTTTTGGTGAAATCCCAGTGCCTGGGTTGCATCCCACCACTAGCAATGCCCCCCGTTGCAATGGGTGCATCGATGGGTGCATCAGAAAATGGCGGAAAAATCACCCCGCAAGTCGGCCATGAAATACTCGTCGATGACCGTTTGATAAACCGATGGATTTTGGTTTTCAACATCTGGTAATCAAACATGGCAATGAAAAATCCCGCACCTTCGATGTTTTTCCGATTTAAACGCCCATTAAATGTTCGTGGATTTCCCAGCTGGCCATTTTCATTGTCTGATGGTAGCACTGGTAAATGAAGGATAAGCCCCCAAATGACCATTAAATCATAGGGAAAATGATGAAATGAACCATGGTGAATAAGCCGGATGGTTTGCTTATCCATTAAGATAAAAAACGCTTCTCCCATTACAATACCTATTAAACCATATTAACCATATTAATGGTAATTAACCATATTAACCACAATCCCATTAATGATAAACCATGGTACCCTCGGGATTCTCCTGTGGTTTTCCCAAAAGATCTTCAGGTCCCCAGGGTCCCCAGGTCCCGCCATCCACCGATGCGGACCTTCGGCGTACACAAGGCTTCGAAGCGGACCTGCGATGCTGCGATGCCAAGGCAATGGGACCTGAGATGGTCAAAAACTTCATGGCCAATAGGGATGATATCACATCAATGGGAACTGTAATTAACATAGGGATATATCATGATATACTAGGGATAAAGTTTTTGACCATCTATAATAGGGATATATCATGGGATATAATAGGGATATACTGGGAAGTGTAATTAAAATACAATGGGAATGAATCACATCAATGTGGTTGGGAAACTCTATTCGTAGCTCCAACTGCCTCCCCATGGCTAATAAAGAACATGAATACTGTATACTCCTAGCTCCCTTAGCTCTCTGCCAACCATTGGATAGAATATGAATATGACAGGAATATAATATATCATGTGAAATATGGCAGTTACTTTAAGAATCTTACCGAGTTAATCATCCTAGTCCTAGTTGGTACTGTACCGTCAAGCATCTCAAGAATCTCGCAAGTCAATGTCGATCTACTCAAAACCCTCGAGCATGCCGTTGGCAACTAAGGACGCAAACGGATCTGCTGGTCGGTAAGAAACCCAGGTGTCAAAGGGGGGCCACCATACCCACCATTGTTAGAGGATATTACCCCAAAATCTAATCCAAAACTCAAAACCTGACCATGTTCAATAGCAAAAAATCTCTTTTGGAAAGGTCCCATCCCAGTCTTGACTGAAGAAACCATCATGTTTAACCATTAAACCCACAATTTCCGTGGTTAAATCCTAGATGTTGCGGATGCCAAGCATCATTTTTGATGGTGAACCAGTTTTTGATTGTGAACTCCCCAGTTTTGATGGTCTTGAAGGATTACAGTAAATCCCTATGTTTGATGGTTAAATCATTATTTTTTCCCACATGGTTATGTAAGGCATCATGTTAATTAATTGATGGTTCGCACATGTGTTTCCAGGCTTTCCCCGTCCTTGCTCCGTACCAGCGCCTTAGACACTGCCTGTGATGCAGCTGTGTAGTGCCGGCCTAAGATGCGATGCTGTCTGGCTTTACCCTATGGAGATCCGTAGGAAAATGGAGACTTTAGCAGCTTGCGAATGATGATGTACAATGTAAATTATGATTTTTAGGGGTTACAACTGGGATAGAATGGTTTATTTTAGCCTTATTTCACAGGTTTGATCCATACTCATAGAGGATAGAATATGGAACTCGAAGCAACCAAAATGGTTTATTTCCCTCCAGTAAACTAACACGGCAATCCCATGGGTTTCGGAAATGACCGACAGTTCTAGTGGAGTTTCCATATATTTCTTTACGTAGCTTTAGTGCTGGGTAATTAACCAGCAAATGATGAGGATTACCCTCTCGTAATTTAACATAGCTATTGAAAATCACCATTAATAGTGGATTTTCCCATAAAAAATTGTGAATTTCAATAGCTATGTTAAATTACCAGAGGATTAAATATGATTACCGTCATCGATTCTTTGTTGGAAAATATCCATCAATTGGATGCATCGGATGTTGGAGCTAAGGCAACAAAACTGGGCAGCTACTTCAGCAGAAAACGATAGAAACTATGTGTTTTACCAGCATCAAATGGCATACAAGAACTGGTTCTCTCCAAGAGACCCAGACAACCCAAACCTGGAAATCCAGCGGGGGTGACCATCCGTTCAGCAATCTTTGAGCCAACAGACAGCCAACGACGTACAAAAACGGTGACTTACTGTATGATATGATATGATATACGATATACGATATACGATACACGATATACGATATACGATATACGATATAGGATATATGATATGTGATATATGATATGATATGACCATATATTATAATCCATATATATATATATATCGTATAACTATGTATAACTCACCTACCTTTGCGGTGATTGTTAGTAGGGAGCTGACCCGGCAGCTTTCGACACTCATGAAACTTGGGACTTGTGATTGCCATGGTCAACAGGACTCCCTGCGCACGGCCGCAACGTCAGAGTGGATGGCTGCACTTTGAGCCTTGGGGGTCACCATGGGTCTTGTGGCAGCAATGACCGTATCGGAGTTGGCAAAATCGGCTTCCGGGGGGAGGCATCATGTTCCACTTCCATGTGTTTTTCTGGCAGGGTATGCCAAAGATCTCAGGAATTATTAGGAAATTGGTAGTAAGTCCCAAACCATGTATATATATATATATATTATGTATGTAATAGTATGGAAATATATATATATATATCTTTATTATATGTAGTACTGTAGCTCCCATTTTATGGGATGCTTCCCCCTCAACCATCATTGATTTATGGGTCGCCTTGATACTCTGCAGCAGGTCTTGCAGTGCTTGTTGCCCCTCAGCCGCCAACCTTGCTCGGAGAGTCCGGGAGTCCGTGGGAATTCCCATGGCTGAGTCATGTGAAAATGATCCAATGACGATGGGTACAAACATTGCAAAAAAAATGCAAAAACATCCATGTATCAAATGTGCGAAATTCATTTACACCCCCCTAAAAGTAGATGGCGCAACTCCAAAACCAAAATACCCATAAGATGGCACCGCGGGGTGAGAAAGAATATGGCGCTATTTTAGCTGGAACATAAAACGAGGTCCGCCAATTGAAGAAAACAATGCCCTACTTTAAAATGAAAAGGCAGATGGCGCAACTGCCACTCCAGTAGATGGACATAAGGGTATATATTCTTAACTAATTGTACTACATGTCCGATCATTTTTGTTTGTTTATACTCAAGATTACACATGTTTGTATTGTAAATATTATATATATATATATAAATAATTCCCCTAGATTTTTTTTCCTAAAAATGAGTTGCGCCATCTATGTCCCTTAAATCGCATTCAAATCTTCGAAAAAATCCATTGCAATACCTTGAAAATGAACCACTGAATGTGTTTAAACTGATTGTGGACAGAATTTTATGGCTAGAAATCTCATTTTTCAACATGTTTTGACAAAAAATATTGAAAAAAATAAATTGCAATGCAATACCTTGAAAATGAGTTGCGCCATCTATGTCCCTTAAATCCCATTCAAACGCCAGAAATTTCTTTTTCGATGGGTTCAAAAATGAGTTGCGCCATCTATGTCCCTTAAATTGCATTCAAATCTTCGAAAAAAAATCCATTGCAATACCTTGAAAATGAACCACTGAATGTGTTTAAACTGATTGTGGACAGAATTTTATGGCTAGAAATCTCATTTTTCAACATCTGTTGACAAACAAATATTGAAAAAGACATGTACAATTGCATTGCAATACCTGGAAACTGAGTTGCGCCATCTATGTCCCTTAAATCCCATTCAAACGCCAGAAATATCTTTTTCGATGCGTTCAAAAATGAGTTGCGCCATCTATGTCCCTAAATAAAAATGACCTATGTTTTGCCATCTTCTGCGCTCTGGCAATTTGCCACTTTGCTTGGCCCCGGAAAACGGGCCCCACCAAGTCCCCCGAAAAGAGCTTTTTCCTGGGTTTCCCAAAGCAAACTTGACACTTGGTGGGGTCCGCTTTCCGGGGCGAACCCAAGTGGAAAATTGGCACTGCGCTGGTTTCCCCCCATTTTTTTCTCAACATCAAGCTGCCTTTTTGGGACGTAGATGGCGCAACTCCCACTCATTCGCCAAAATCAGGCTGGGAATGCCCACATAGATGGCGCAACTCCCTCATATCTCCCGACGCCCATCAACCAACCCAACCAAAATATGCCACATCGATCAGAGTTATCCCAAGACAGAAGGCAAAACCACCAGGAAAGACATCAGAGTTGTCCCAGGACAGGAGGCAAAACCACCAGGAAAGACATCAGAGTTGTCCTTTTTGGGACATAGATGGCGCAACTTCCGTCATTTTGCCAGCAAAGGTCAAGACGCTTTAAAACCCAATTTTAACAAGTGACCTGAGGAACCGTTTCTTGACGGCCAAAACGGTTCCTCAGGTCACTTGTTAAAATTGGGTTTTAAAGCGTCTCGACCTTTGCTGGCTCAAAACAACTTCCGTCATTTCGCCAAAATCAGGCTGGGAATGCCCACATAGATGGCGCAACTCCGGGAGTTGCGCCATCTATGTCCCAAAAAAGCAACTTGATGTTGAGAAAAAATTATGGGGAGAAACCAGCGCAGAAGATTGCAAAAAATGTCATTTTTAGGGACATAGATGGCTCAACTGACCTGTTTTAAAGGGAGTTGAGCCATCTATCCCCCATTTTTTTTTTTGACATAGATGGCGCAACTCAAGATTCTGAGCCATCTACTTTTAGGGGAGAGTATATAAATCAATCTAAATCATATTTCATGGCCTTAAAAATCTGACTAATCCCAATCCAAAATGGGAAACTATCCTTGTGGGCATCAGTCAAAAGTTCAGTATCAGTACCAAGGAGCATTGGTTCGGTTGTCATGTTATCTTTAAACCGTTTATGTACTGTAGTAGTAAACACCCCGTTCCCCAATGCTGGCCCCCACCCAAAATCCCGGAAAATATCCTGCACAGTTCTGTATTGCCATTTCTGGTGGTCACATCATTCAAATCACCACTGTTTGTTGGGTGGTTCATAAACATTGGGGTCTTCAGTTGACACCTGTAGCCCCAGTGGTTAAGACTTGGGAAATCATGTCCATCGCTTACCTACCCGACCCCGTAGAACTTAACAAGGACCAAAAAACACCATCTCCAACAGAAAAATGTCCAACATTGCAGACCTCTGACTATGATGGAAACTCCCAAAAAACGACAAAGGTATGTTTTGCATTGGTTTGCCTCAACTGTCAATCTGGAGATGCTTGGTTTGCATAGTTCCCCACGACCCCCAGCTGTCAACACAGCATGGTTTTGTCAGTTGCATCGGCTCCCTGATTCTTTACCCCAAAGATTGGATGGCGAAGACCAAACTCGCGGGTGGCCTTGGGTAGCGTAATTACTTGGGTGTTCATCAACATGGGTTCAATTACATGGGTAAAATGAAATTACATGGGTAAATTGTCATAAACATTACTTTACCGACTTTACCCATGAAATTCTGATGGTTCCAGAGAATTTCCATGGCTTTCAATCCCTTAGAAACAGCCAAGGTGAAATCCTCCGAGCCCAGCAGCTGGCTTCCAGCCGTTTCACCCAAAGGCTCCTGGGCAATCCATCTGTGCCACTGAGGTCCCAAAATTGGACACCAACAGCAACCAACAAGCAGAACATTTCGATAGAACTGACCAAGTTGAGTGGAACTTCGGCAACATTCACCAACAAATGACATTGCCGGGCCTCATTGATCCATTGGTTGCCACATCTCAATCTTGAGCTGACTACTCTGGATTGATACCATTGCAGTTGAGGGGGTCTACACAGTCTACAGACATCGACATCCGGCGCACCACATGGCTTAAAGGATCTGTGGGGTTTCTTGAAGTTTGGATCCCCAAAACCATGAGTTTCAGCCAATCGAAATCTGGTCTGGCGAGTCGGAATAATGCGACAAACCCAACCGTGCCATGAACCAACCGTTTGGGAATCATGTTACCTCATCCCAAACAAGACTAGGTCATACCCAATACTAAATCCCAACCCCGGATGTGTTCATATTGATTTCCACTGTATATAATTTCTTCATCCTATTCCATAATTATGTATATATAGTATATAATAGTATATTATATATATATGTATATATATATAGTTATTTATGTTATATTATATATATCATATTATATTATACATATATATATCATGTGTATATAATTATCCCATACAGTGCTCCACTGCTCCACACTATCCCATACCTCTTCTTTTTATTCGATTTACCGACAAAAAGGTTGTCCTACCTGCATCACGGTGGCCGACGGCAGCGTCGAGACGGGAAGCAAACGGCACGTTGGAGGTGCACGGAAATTGCACGGAATAATGAATATTTCCCCACAGTAAATGTGGATGTATCAAAACCAATCTTGCTATATTTGGGGGGATGAACATCCATTTAACAGTTATTTGGGGTTCACTAGGGTACCAAGGTTTTGACTCATACCCAAATGTATGTAAAGGTATAAAGTAGCATAGTCATGTTCAATGGTAATGGTCAAAAGATGTCAAAGGTATACCGTTTTTGACTTTCTCAGAACGGATAGACAGTTTCTTTTAGTGATAAACTGATTTTGAGTTGGATCTCAGTGCATTTCACTGTTATCTGTGTGGATTGCTGCTCATTGATCACAACCTGAAACTGGTAAGAACAGGAGGGAGGTCTGGATACTTTGTGGATGGGTGAGTTGACTGAAAAGAATGAAAGAAATCAGAAAGTCGACTGAGAACATGATCCCTCATGAATCAAACATGCAAAAAGAATCACAGGCAGACTTGAGCCAAGAAAAGGGAGAGGATGAAAGAACTGATGAACACTGATGATGTTTTCGAGATCACCTACAAGAATGGGCATTTGCTGCCCATCCGGTGAAATGTTGTAGAGAACCTAGCAACAAATCTGTAACCAGCTGTCGGAAAATCAGCACATCTCTCTGGCTCCACAAAGGGTCCTACCCCATTTATATATAGTACGTCAGAAGAGTATGTGTACATGATATTATATATTATTATATAATAAACATACATTATATATGATTATATGTGTATGAGCAATCTCTTAAACTACAGGTTCATGAAAAGGACACCAACAAATTTGGGAAGGCCCTATCACTTACCAGACGTTTTTACAGAAATGATGTATTGGCAAATTTAGGGAGTATCGCTTAAAAGAAATTGATGTATGTGCACAGGTATGACATAACCTGTTATCTGGGAAGGTCCGATCGCTCGCATCATGCTTGCACAATGTCTGAAACCATCCCTTGCATGTTTCCTATTGCCGGAGTTTTTGCGGTAGCTCATATATTATGTATTTTTATATATCACGTCTGTATGACTATGCAGATATATATATACATACATGTATAATGCATACATGTATGTAAGTGTGTATATATATGTGTGTATAGATAAGTATGTATACATATGTGTATATATATATATATTATACAATTATATACATATGTATATATATACATATATATATATACATATACATATACATATATATACACATATATGTATACATATATACACACATATACAACTTAAACATGCATACGTAGACACATGTGTATATAGATAGATGTGTGTATGTGTACAGTATAAATATATACGGGTGACGTATATATGGGTGTATGTGTATACATATTATGTCCATAAACGAGAGGTACTCAAAGTCCATTGGTTTCCCCGACCAGATTAAAACAATTTCTTTAAACATCAATCTCCGCTCTTCTCAAGAAGTATAACTCTATGACAGGGCACCAATGTGCAGTAAGTGTGAGGGAATAATTGACCATTCAAAATTGCTAGTTTGGGCGAAATTGGGTGGTGCCACTCCATCCAAATCATCCTTCAATCACCACCGAAACGGCAGGGCAGCAACTTTTTGGACGGTCCAAAAATTATAAGCGTCTGATGTGCCGAATACTACTTACGCACGTGCTAATTTGCAGTCCGCAAATAAACCGCTCCGCTCGAGCGGACACGAGGGTGGTCCGACTGGTCCGACTTGCCACTTTGCAACAAATGGCAGGTCGGGTTTGTCGGGGTGCCGAGAACTGGTGTCGCTGGCCAAATTGATATCTTGCTGGGTCGGTGTATGTTGAACCGTTGCATCTGATTATTGACAGATTTCTGGCCATGGAACAGGGGGTGCTTGTACATGTAAGAGAGGCTTGCTGCAAATGTGTCCCAACAATCAGGGGCCCCGGGCTGAACAGGTTCCTTTTTCTGCAAATAGTTGACCAGTTTGAGGGAGTCCGGGATCAAGAATCTAGAAATATTATGAAATATCTAGAATATCTTGGGGATCCATCCTGTCTTCTTGAATGCCATGTTTCGGTTACGCTTCGGTGAGACGAAATCGCAAGCCTTTGTGCGAGCTCTCACTGGGACAGACCTGCAGAACCCATGCCCCAGGCTCTTGGGGCCGAGGATCGTCCTTGTTTGGGGATCTTGGTATTGTCGTTTTGTTTCACTGGCTATCATGTGGTAAACCTCGAAAAGAAATCATACTGGATCATACCCTTTCCTGTTCGAGGCTATTCAAACCCAGGCGCCAAAAAGAATGGTTTCAATTGGGTTCCCAAAGCTTGGCTGGATGAGAAGTCCCAGTGTTGAATCGGCGGAAAAAACCGTACCATCTGCAGTTTCCGTATAGAATTTGCCAACACCTCTGGGGTCACTAATTACCCAAGAAAGGGACTACCTAAATGGACTGGTGAAGTGTAGTTCATTGCTTGAGTGTTAAGCTATTTATATCATGTTCTCCATTTTGATGCGGGAAGATGTCAAAAGCCGCTGAATATCTATCCGTGGTTTTCCTAGAGCATTGAAGCTTAGATGGTGGCTGTGGCCTAGTTCAGTTTTGAGGGTTTTGCAAAAAAAAACTAATATTGGTCATATATAGCTGGCTAGTTAGCATATATAACAGTGTAAAGAATTTCCATATATATATATATATATTCACAATGATATGTATATATACACATACCATCCATATGTAGATTTATATATATCATTATATATAATTATATATATACAGTACTGCATATAATATCCCAATTTATAGCAAAAGATTGAACTACTTCCAGGCCCAGCTGTTGGCTTTTCCAGCCACCACACTGGCGAGCTCGGCGGTCCCCACGTCCAGTCTGTACGCTTCCTAAAGGCTGCGAATCCCAGGCTTCGCTGGCTTCACGCGACCTGAAGGATTAAACTACCCATCCAAGGTTGGGGACAACCATGGGATGATACTTGGGATATTTGGGATACTTGGGAAAATAAAATTGGGAGAATAATTGGGATATACCCTTCCGGTGTCATCAAACGTCTAGCCACAAATGGCCCATACCATCCCGTACCTATAGGTTTCTGACACAGGGAATGGAATGATAATTCGAAACTGGAAGCTTCAAAGCAATCATGGAGGAAATGGGAAGGTACATGAAGATACAGTATTCAACTTGGGGTGAATGAGGAGTCGTACAACGCATGGAAGTTTCATGCAAATCCGTACTCAATGAAGGACAAGATGGGGGAGCTTGAACAACCACTTGGGTCAACTTCCAAAGCAAATGTAGAGGACGGAGAAGCAACGAATCTGGGAACGTCATGACATGTGACCAGTCATAAGATGTCTACCTGTCGCACCAAACATAGGAATACGCTTCGTCGAATCCTGGAACGTTTGCACATCCCGAGAATCTCTCCAGAGATGTTGAGATGTCAATAAGTAGCCGATGTGTACCCTCTGGTAATTTGTTACATAGCTATTGAAAATGACCATTTATAGTGGATTTTCCCATTAAAAATGGTGATTTTCCATAGCTATGTTAGTTTACCAGAGGGTAGGTTTTTTTGCGTACCAAAATGGCCGTTTACCACGTGGGTCTCGCCAAAATTTGGAGGCCAGATCAATCAGCAGTTTCTCCTACTGGAACAAACCCGATTTCAGGGTTCCCAAAGTCTTTGATGCACTCATAAGCGGCATCATAGCTCACTCGAGCTGTTCCTGGGCCATCTGCACATCTTTTGGGGATCTGCCTGATCTCTTTTCATATCTTTTCCATGAGTGCAAACTGGCACTTAGGCCCCCTACGTTTCAGGGGGTTGCGGACCCTCACCGTGTGAAAGTACCCCAGCATGGCAAAGCTGAACCAACACCAACTCGGTGGATTTTCGCCATCAGAATGCTTCCCCAAACTGGTGACCCCGGCTGGCTAAAGGTCAAAATTCAGTACAGCAGCCAGCATATATGGCAATAATTGAACTGTAAGATATTTGGTATTGCTAGTACTATAGATATACTCTCAAAATCTGCAGTTTGCTGGGTTTAAAATTTTGATCCGTGCCCCATCTATATCTGATGAAACCCCAACGCTTCAGGGCCCACGGGTCCAGAATTTGGCTCCCACACATCTTAGGCTTGGGAGAGGCCGGGTAAGGCCTCTCACGCAGCGACAGAAGTCGGACTTCCAAGCAGCAAAAAACGGATGTGAAACCATCCAGAAATATGGATACCAAAGCAGGCTAGCTGGGAAAATAGGCATTAACTTGCATGAGAAAATAATCCAAGAATTTGGGTATTTTCCAGTGGCATGTTTGAATACCAGAGAGTATCACAGATAAATGGAGGATGTTTGGGGGCAAAATTGCTTTGGTTCAAGCCAAGTCAATTGAGATCGTCATAGATCGTCATTCCATTCTTGTGCCATGGAAACAAAACAGTAAAGTGAGATATGTTAATTTGAGGGGAAGGGATTATGCCTCATGACTCATGACATTCATGCCTCATTTATGTGGGGTCATCCGTGGTGTCAAACGTTTACATCCCATCATCGCCCCGTGTCTCAGCCCCGTCCTGTTTTGCTTCAGCAGAATTTGCCATAGCATAGATACCTGAGCAAAAAAAACAACCGGACCTGCGGTATGGCATGCCCCAAATCAAACCACCGATGAATTCGTGCAGGCAAATGGTTTCAAATAAAATGTGTTTTGAAATATTCACAGTTCAAAATCAAAATCTAGGATGTCCTGCTCCTAAAACAAAACATGTTGATGGATGTCTGGGGTCCGTTGGTGGAACCCGCTGAATGTCTGAGAAATTGTAGAGCTGCAGCCAAAGTCAACGGACAGGCTTGGAGCAACTGAACTTGAAAACAAGGAGCGGCCACCAGCAGGCTTGGATGTGGTTTCAACAGGGCCCCGACAACATACGAAAAGATTATAATTAATTTGTTTCCCAAAATGCTGGAGCAACGAACGGCAAAATAAAGCATCTTCTTCAAGAAATCCAGGCATCTTAGGGAAATTCTCTGGATT